GTGGAGCCCAAAGAGGCTTTTGCAGCTTCTGATGTTAAAAGTGCAGCACCAGATGATGACGAGAATAATGTGACTTTTTACCTCATCATCACTTTGGGCTCAGTTTCAGTTCTGTTCCTCATCAGCATCATCGTGCTGATTGCAATGCAGTGCTCAAAATCCACAGACTTTACTTCTAAATATCTGCAGGAGGCTAATTATGATGGGACACTGTGTCACAGCATCCAGTACAGATCTGGAGACAAACGCTACATGTTAGTTGGACCCAGGATGAGTATAGGATCTACTATGGTACCTGGAAGTCATGCAAACACTCTGGTCTTACCTGACAGGAGGAAAACATCTGAGGAGGTAAGAATAAATAAAAACTTTTTATTTTTATTACCTAGTAATTTTGAACACTTCTGTTTTATAGTGACCTTTAAAACAATTTTCCAGGAAACCCTTTGGGATTTCATGGAGTACTAATTTTAGCTGGTTTGTGTTTTTTTATTTTTTTATTTTATTTTTTTATTGATTTGACTGTTTGTAAGTGGATTAGGTTCTTGATCTGTATCAGACTGCATTGGATTTTGTTTTGGATCATATACTTTTCAGTGTGTTTCCCTGAAATGATTATTGTTGGTTTTTTGCACTTGAGTTTCTTAAAAAAAGAACAGCAGCTGTTCTGTTTTTAATGAAACTCTTTGTTAGGATATCTTTCTTCTTCACAAGAAACATTTAAATATTCTTTGTTGTTGTTTACAATGAGGTTATTTTGACTTTTGCCTTCATGTGCACATTTTCACATGCATTTTTAACATTTGTAAGCAGAAATCTATTAAGACAAGCTTTGTTTATTTTATATATTTGTAGAAATTCTTTCACTTAAGAAGGTGTTATAAGTTGACAATTGTTTTTTTTTTTTCATCTACTTTTTTTTTTAATCCTTAGCAGGGATTCATTTAAATGAGCTCATAATTAGTTCTACTCAATTAGTTAGTTGTGATGGGACTATGCTGACAAAAGGCAAATGACTCAAGATATTGAAGGTCATTTGATTATTTCATATGACTTGGCTTTGTGCACTAAACCTTGTGTTCGGTTTGGAACACTTTTTTTCTGCTCATTCGAGTTTTATTTAATGTTTGACATTTTAAACATTGATCTTTTTAGATGAACAAATTCAGTGGTTCTCTAGATGTCAGTGTTACATTTGTGAAGGATTGAATGTTCACTCGTAACAGACTCTGCCCCTGAAAATGCGTGATTCTTCCATTCAGCACAAAGAACGCCATCTTTTTAAATGTAGGCTGCAGGAACTCCTTCCATACTTGGATTTAATCTGATTAAATCTTCAAAAAAATACTTTTGTTTTTCTTTTAACGTGGATAATATCTGTGGGGGACATTTTGAATGACTATGCCAGCAGAGACAAAGGACTAGGAGCTAAAATGACGTCTCGGTGGCGCACGCTGCTTTTCTTTCTGCTTTTGAGCCGCACGGAGCTGATTTTAGCGCAAATAAAATACTCCACACCAGAGGAGGTGAAAGTGGGAGCCGTGATCGGAAACGTTGCCAAGGATTTAGGTCTGGACGTGAGTACGCTGACGACCAGGCGGTTCCGCATTGTGTCTGGTGCTGACGGCGCGCTGTTCGAGGTGAACCCGAACAATGGGGTTCTGTTTGTCCACAGGAGGATTGACCGCGAACAGCTGTGCGACAGAAACGCTGCGTGTTTGACAGATCTCAAAATCGTCGCGGAAGATCCACTTGAGGTTCATTACGTCACTGTAGAAATTAAAGATGCGAACGACCACGCGCCCAGTTTTGCAGATAAAGAAAAGGTGGTGGAAATAGTGGAGCTGACCTCTCCTGGAGCCAGATTTCAGCTTCCGGGCGCACGCGATCCAGATGCTGGAATCAATTCTGTGCAGCGCTACAAACTGAGTCAAAATGAGCATTTTAATTTGGAAATCCGAGACAGAGATGAGGATAAAATCCCTTTTTTAGTGCTGCAGAAGCAGCTGGATAGAGAGCAGAAAACCCACCACAGCTTGATGTTAACAGCAATTGATGGAGGAGCACCACCTCGGTCAGCCAACCTCAGCATTACAGTAAGAGTTCTAGATATCAACGACAACAGACCCGTTTTTTCCAAAGAGGTTTATTCTGTCACACTGAGAGAAAATACACCAATAAATACGATTATTATAAAAGTTCAAACAACTGATCTGGACGAGGGCCCTAATGGGGAGGTGGAATATGCATTTGGAGGTGATGTTACTACAGATGCTTTAAAATTATTTAGTATAGATAGACTGAAGGGAGACATTCGAGTTATTGGTTTAGTTGATTATGAGGTTGCTAATGTTTACAAACTAGACGTCCAAGCTTCTGATAAAGGCATACCGCCGATGACCACTGACTGCAGGGTCATAATAAAAATTGAAGATGTTAATGACAATGAGCCAGAAATTGATATAACATCGTTATCCGGTAAGGTTTCAGAGGATGCAAAACCAGGGACAGTTGTTGCTCTGATCAGTGTTTCAGACAGAGATTCTGGTTTAAATGGTAAAGTCGTATGTAGCCTAAGTAAAAATGTTCCGTTTGAATTGAAACCATCTTTTAAGGAGAACATTTATTCATTAGTAACAAAAGAAACATTGGACAGAGAAGCTGTGTCACATTATGATGTTTTATTAAAAGCTACTGACTGTGGTGAGCCGCCTCTGTCCAAATTAAAAACTTTAAGCATTCAGGTGTCAGATGTAAATGACAACACACCTGAATTCTTACATAGTCCTTTGCAGTTATATTTATTAGAAAACAATGCTCCTGGTGGGTCCATATTTTTTGTGAGCGCGTCTGATAAAGACTTGAACGAAAATGCTGTTGTTTCCTACAGTTTACTGAGAGATGAGGGTGGTCAGAAAGACATGACTTCATTTCTGAATATAAACAATGAGAATGGACAGATAACTGCGCTGAAAAGTTTTGACTTTGAGAGAATCAAAACTTTCCAGTTCCAAGTTGTGGCCACAGATTCTGGAGCTCCATC